TATCACTAATTGATCTTCATGTAATAATGACATTAAGTTTCACATGTGTTCATCTTACTGAATTTTACATTTATTCTTACTATAATGGTTTTGATATTGTAAATTTGAAAAAAAAAATCCCTTTTGTAAAGATTCCGTTATAGTCCGAGTAATATGGATAATCATAGAGTAAAACGGATCGACGACAATGAGAATGAAAAAGCTAAAAGCGTCTACGAATACATTCGGAATTCGAATTCCGAAAGTGAAGAAAATAATCAATAAGTTACATTCGGAATTCGAATTCCGAAAGTGAAGAAAATAATCAATAAGTGTCCCAATATGAACATACGATAGCTATGAACACACTAATGTGAACACGCCTACATTAAAGATTTGAGTTCGGGATGACAAACAATATACATTCTTCACTAAGTTTTGAATTTCAGTAAATCCACATCATGTGACAACTCTGCATTGTGGGATTTCAGGTTAGTACTTTATTTCAGGATCCTGATTGAAAACTAAGTCTTTTTAGGTTCTAGCCTCAGAGATCGTCTTGTTAGTCTGATTAGGTCATGTTTCGACGGTAGCTAACCAAGTTAATTCATGCAAGCCAATTAGTCTTGAAATATTTCACAAAAAGATAAAGTTGATATTTTAGTCTCGTTCTTTTAAAATTCAAAAAAAAAATCCAAAGTTTCAATTTTCTTTTATTATTTAGTTGCCTATTATTATTTTATAGGAGTGAACTTTTAAAATCTTTTGTCAAATTGTTTTGTTTGTTTTAGATTTTGGAGCCTAGCATTTGGAAATTTAACATCTTGGGCTTGGGCCTTGGGAGGACAGCCCATTTTCTTTCAAAAAACCCTATATAAATACTCCCCTCCCCTTTTGAAAACTCCTCATTCTTCAAAAAGTTCCAGCCTTTCGTTCTCTCTCTCTCTAACTTCATCACCTTCCAACCAACTTCTTCTTCTTGCAAAAACTCAAGCTTTCTGCTGTTTTGAGTCTGGTTCGAGATTTTCGGTCAAGAAAAAGTATGTTTACGAACTGTTTTATTCCCTTTTAGTTGTTCGAACTTCTTTATCTTTCTACTTGATTCTTTAAATAAATTTACGAGATTTAAAGAGGTGAGATTAATCATCAATGACCTGCATGTGTCTTCACGGGGATGATAATCTATAACCTAAGAATCTTTAATCTCAAAGAAAGAAGAAGAGAGCTCTTGCATGTGAGGTCTGATCGTACTCTCGGATGATTAAATCTTGCATGCATCTTTAAATCGATTCTCTCATCTTGTAGCTTGCTGGAAT